TTGGCAGCTTTCCAAAAACCCAAAAAGTTGCCCTCAGTCTTTTGCTTTATGGAAAGTTTTTATATACCCTAATCCTCTGAGTTGCCCAGTTTGTGCCATCTAAAACCCTGTCCCGCCTCATGGAATCTGCCTTTCTGTCACAATGGATGGTCTTGGTCCTTCACATGCCAGTTTTGCTTGTGAGTTGTTCCTTTTCTTCTTATCAGCTTTAAGTCTAGGCTTTTGCTCTTTTCCAGTGATGTGGACAGTCCCCTTCATAAGCCATGATTTTTCCTGAGTCAAAATCTATTCAGATGTGTCTACGTAAGGGGCTTATTTAACTTCTTCCTGTGTCTTACTTTATTTGTGTTAATTGGTTGATAGGAAGAAGAGATGCTTGAGAACCTTGGATTCTTTGGTTTGGAGTTTAATACCTAAAATGCTATTTTTAAACACCAGCTTTACGTAAATGTTTGTTGATTCTGGTCTGTTCCTGACACCTTTCCAGAAAAAATTGCTCAAGTACACCAAAGATAAAAAGGAGTTGCTTAGGTCACCCTTCATACAGCTTTACAGAGCCTCTGAATCATATTCACGATGGTCTGGAAGAGACTATAGACCTTGGGCCAGGAGTTTAGCAGCAAAGTCACCACTGTCAAGTCCCCTCGTATTTACCAGCTAAGATAGTGGGCTGCCAGGAGCTGTGTTATAGTCATGTAACAGGCTGAGTCAGGCAGGAGTCCCTCCCTTTCACCCCTAAAGGACTGCAGTTTCAGTCCCCTGCTTCCTTTGGGTGGGCATCTTCCTACAGAGAAGGATGTCTGAATGGTGATAGCTATTACTCTTAGTGCCTATAAAGCTAACGCTGGTGCTAGAAACATCACCATTAAAATTTAGAAAAGCCTGGGTAGTGGCTCAGTGGGTAGGGTGACAGCCCCACATACCAAGGGTGGTGGGTTCGAACCTGGCCCCGGCCAAACTGCAACAACAAAAAATAGCTGGGCATTGTGGCAGGCGCCTATAGTCCCAGGAGGCTGAGGCAAGAGAATCGCCTACACCTAGGAGTTGGAGGTTGCTGTGAGCTGTGATGCCACAGCACTCTACCGAGGGCAATAAAATGAGACCCTGTCTCTTAAAAAAAAAAAAAATTAGAAAAGCAGTAATGTTCAGTCAGACTTGAGCTGGCCCACCTGCTTACATGCCCACAGAAACTGTCAAGCTCCATTTCCTGTGCCTGGCACGAGGCTTTATCAACCAAAGACGGTTTTTCCCCCTTTCAATTGCCCTGCAGGCTTTGGAGCCAAGAAACAGATATTCTTGGTGATTCTGTAAGTACTTGAAATGGTTTGTGGTTCATAGTCATTTATAAGAAAGTTGTTAGGAATTCAGAGCATCTTTTCCAGTTAAAAATGTCATACATGGTGGTAAAATGTTTTAAACCCAAAACACTTAACTTGTTTTACTTACAAAGAAATAGTCTAATGGTATAAATGAACAACCACTTATACTCCTTTTTTTTTTTTCTTTTTTGAGATGGAGTCTCACTCTGTCGCCAGGCTAGAGTGCCATAGTGTCAGCCTAGCTCACAGCAACCTCAAACTCCAAGGTTCAAGCAAACTTCCTGCCTCAGCCTCCCAAGTAGCCTGGACTACAGGCATGTATCACCATGCCTGGCTAATTTTCCTAATTTTCATAGAGACAGGGTCTCGCTCTTTGCTTAGGCTGATCTCAAACTCCTGAGCTCAAGCAATCCTCCTGTCTTGGCCTCCCAGAGTGCTGGGATTACAGGTGTAAGCCACAGTGCCAGGCCCACTTATACCTCCTTTTAATGAGAAAATGATTAGTGAATTTCATGTTGGAGAATCAAGAAGAAACCTGACATTACTATGCTGACCCCTGCATCTCCCTTTCAACTCCTACTGTCAGCCAAATGAGAGGGAGAGCTTAGTTTTGCCCAGTGGCAGAGATTTCTGGGTAGAAAAGGCCAAAGATGGGAATGAATGTTTTGGGGAGTGAGGAAACCAGTGAACTAGAGCAAAACCCACTGGGCAGCAGTGACAGAATTCTGACCTCCCTCTTGTCCCATCTTTCCTGCCTTTTCTTCCATGAGACTACAGGGCTGAATCCTGGAGGCTGGTCACTGGGAGAAGATGAAAAGTTACTGTACACAGGACCCTCACTGTGTGACTGTCATTTGCATTTGGAAGATGGTGTACATCTTAGAGACGGCTTGTACTTGGAAGGTTAAAAACTTAGCATCTTGTTCTCAACCTGCAAGCTGCATTGAGAAATTACTACTCTGTATTTTGATTAAGCCTTAAAACTTTTAAGTGCATTTGATGCCAACATTTTTCTAAAGCTGCATCGAAACATAAAAACCTATACTCACATCTCACTGTAATTTTGTAGGAACACTTTTGTTATTTTTACAAGGTAGAATTGGGTATAACCATTGAATTAAACTCAGCAATCATGAACTGAAAAACATTGCCTGCTTTATGTGTCTCCTCACTGGATCATTCTCCATACAAAATGCCTGAGCTCCACCCTTTCCCTACAGCTTTTTATTGGGGAAGGGGCTTGCCTTTTGGTGGGGGAGGGATCCCTTTATCCAAAGGACATCCAAATCATCTTTAAACTTTGAATAGAATAAGTAGGGAACATGCCAGTGCTGTTTTAAGTTTCTGTCCGCTAAATGTAATGATTATTTTTTTCCCTTACCACTTGTCTTAAAGATGTTAGGGTATTTAACCTGCTTCTGACTTGACTTTGAAACTCTATAGTGACATGCCTTGTAATAAGTAGGTAAAATGAATATGAGAGTTTATCAGAGTCAAGTCCTATAGAGAAAACAGATGGGATGTCCTTCTTATGTATTGGCTATTTTTATATGTTCCTTAAACAAACCTAATATCCTTGTGCGCATTATATGGATTCAGGATGATGGTACTTCTCAGGCTGCCTGCCGCTAAAGAGGCTCCTTGTCATTCAGATGAAGAAATGCCATGTTTGCTTGTTTATCCACAACTGTGTCCTGAAATGTTCCAAGGTCCGAGCTAGGCGCTGACAATGCCAAATTACCTATTTGTAGTAGCTGCCCAAGTTATAGGCAAGCACTGAAATCTCAAGAGAGTCAACTTATTTGTCCCCATAGGCCAAGCAGTGGCCAAGTCTGGAAGCGCCATAGAGGCTCTGCTTGTGTTACGTAAAGGGGTAAACAACAGACCTCAAGGCCCTTCAAGGCCACTTCAAGGCCTGTGCTATGTCTAGAAATGACGTTAGGTTTATTGACATCACACAATTTGCTCTATTTGTGATGTACCTCAATGAGTCAAATCCTGCAAGCCCTGTGTTAGCTGCTTCATTTCTTCTGAATTCATATTCTCTTCTTATTCCTTACCATCTTAGAGGTTGTTAGGGGCTACAAGATGCCATCTAGGCCGGTCCCAATGTGGTATTTACAACTAATTGATCACAACCAATTACACATTGCTTTGTTCCTTCTCCACTCTCTTTCATTTGACTAGGCTAAGAATAGAATAAAATCATCTAAAATTCGGCTCACAAAGGAGGAGTGGGACATTACAGAGACATAGGTGGCTTTTTAGCAGATAATATAATGTAGCAAATACTTAGAAATTAAAATAGAGGCTCAGTGCCAGCCACATACACCAGAGCTGGTGGGTTCAGACCCAGCTGGGGCCTGCCAGACAACGACAACTGCAACCAAAAAATAGCTGGGTGTTGTGGCAAGCGCCTATAGTCCCAGCTACTTGCAAGAGAATCGCTTAAGCCCAAGAGTTTGAGGTTGCTGTATGCTGTGATGCCATGGCACTCTACCCAGGGCAATAGCTTGAGGCTCTGTCTCAAAAAAATATATAAAATAAAATAGAACTTTTGAAACTTGTGTGCCAGTCTTACATTTTAGGGTCTTTTAATGAGAAAAAGGAGTATCCCAAATAATCTTTCCAACACTCAAAGGAAATCTACTCTACCATTAGAAGTTTAATTCAGTTAACTTCACCTTTGAAGGAACAGACCAGTTGTATTCAGTAAGCATCAAAAATTACCCAGCATGGTGGTTCATGCCTATAATCCTAGCACTCTGAGAAGCCAAGGCGGGTGGATTGCCTGAGTTCAGGAGGTCGAAACCAGCCTGAGCAAGAGCGAGAGACCTCATCTCTAAAAAAATTGCCAGGCATTATGGTGGGCGCCTGTAGTCCCAGCTACTTGGGAGGCTAAAGCAAGAAGATCACTTGAGCCCATGAATTTGAAGTTGCTGTGAGCTATGACACTGTGGCACTCTACCAAGGGTGACAAAGTAAGACTCTGTCTCAAAAAATATATACCCAGCATGTCCTGTTACTGACTTTTTGTCATACCTAGGAATGACTTAAGAACGTCATCTTGTTTTAATTTCATATTGTTTTTGTCAATGTCATGTAACAGATCATTAGTAATAAAAATTACTAAAGTTGATAGCCAAGACCCATCACCTCTCCTTGTGGCAGTGAGGATTGCTTTAACAACTGTACATCACATTTATTGCATGTACAATTTGCCAGAAATGCCATGCCTCTTTCATGAGTTAGCTCACATTACTAATAGTTTTAATATTTTAGGCTGTTTTGCAGGGTTGGAAATGAGACTATAGAAAATTAACTCACTGAAGATCTAATCCCAGGCAGTTTGAATCTGAGACTAAATCCTTACTGGTTTGTCTCTAGATGGAGTGAGTAAACACACATCAAATAAAGTTGTAAGGGAAAATGAAAAATACCGGTAGTATTTAGGGTCTCAGTTACAGGAGAGTTTGTTGTTTTGCTGCCATCAGATTACATGAGAGGATCTGAACTGACTTTCAGGCATTTAATAGGAGAACAGCAGGGTTCTAATAGCATTAAGCAGGCATTGATGGGTTTGTTTTTTTTTTTGTTTTTTGAGATGGGGTCTTGCTATGTTATCCAGGCTGATATAAAGTGGCCATTCACAGGTGAGATCATAGCTCACTGCAACCTCAAACTTCTGGCTCAAGGGATCCTCCTGCCTCAGCCTCCAGAGTAGCTGGGGGAATATCCGTGTGCACTGCCACATGTGGCTACTGATGGGTTTTCGATCAAAATTCACACTTGTGATCCCCAAAGTGAAAAGTACAAAGTCTGGGGTTCATAGTGTCCCCAGGTACCTAGCAAAAAAAATTAAAATCTGGAGCAACTCTTTGCTTTCCTTTTTTTCTTTTGAGACAGAGTCTCAAGCTGTTGCCTTGCGTAAAATGCTGTGGCGGCATAACTCAACAGCAACCTCTAACTCTTGGGCTCAAGCATTCCTCTTGCCTCAGTTTTTTCTATTTTAGTAGAGATAGGGGGTCTCGCTCTTTGCTCAGGCTGATCTCAAACTTGTGAGCTCAAGCAATCCACCTGCCTCGGCCTCCCAGAGTGCTACGAATACAGGCGAGAGCCACCGCACCCATCTGTTTTCCTTTTAGAGACCAGGTCTTGCTCTGTCACCCAGGCTGGAGCACTGTGTTGTGATCATGGCTCACCACATCCTGGAACTCCTAGGCTCAAGCAATCTTCCCACCTTGGCCTCCCAGGGTGCTGGGGTTACATCCAGTCTCAGCAACTCATTTTAAATTCAAGCCTTAAAGTATTAACACGGATAGCGTTACAAGCAACTGAGTGAAGAGCCTGAGCCAAGAGGCAATCAAGACTACAGGCAGAATCAGTCCTGCAAAAGGCTGCAGGTACTGCAATTATGAGATACAAAAGAAAAAAATCTTAAAATAAGTGGTGAAAGTATACCAGTAAAACATAACAAAATCAATCAAATAGGACAAAACCCTAATATATGGGTTCAACAGATTATGCATTGCTGGAAAGAAACCGGAAGATCTAAAGAAGTCACACCAAACGCCCAGAGAGCGGGAGGCCAATGTTCCGTCTCTGGGATGACGGGCCGGGGGCTTGGAAGGCCACTTTGGGCGGAGACGGGCAGGCGCCTGTAAGTACCGAGGCCTCAGGGCACAGCAGGCGGGACTGTCCGGGGTCCGGGCGGGAGCCGCCCTGCGGCGGGAAAGGCAACTCAGCAGGCGTACCGCTCGCACAGCCCCGCCCTGCTCAGCCGCGCTTCCTGATCTATACAGGCTTCCCCGACAGCACGGTGCGTGCGCCCCCTGGCGGCGCTGAGGAGCGCCGCAAGACGCTCGGGCACCGCCCCCTCCGGCGGCCGGCGGGACTTCCGGCGGGTGAGTGACAGCAGCAGCAGCAGCATCAGCACCAGCAGCAGCGGCTGAGCCCTGAGGCGGCGGTGGCGGCTGTGAGAGTCAACGGGCCACGGCCTGCAGGACCCGAAGCAGCCAGGGCGGGCCGGGCGCGCCGGCCGAACAGCGAGCCGCGCTGGCGGCGGCGGTGGCTGCGATGATGGAGATCCAGATGGACGAGGGCGGCGGCGTGGTGGTGTACCAGGACGACTACTGCTCCGGCTCGGTGATGTCGGAACGGGTGTCGGGCCTGGCGGGCTCCATCTACCGCGAATTCGAGCGCCTCATCCACTGCTACGACGAGGAAGTGGTCAAGGAGCTCATGCCGCTCGTGGTGAACGTGCTGGAGAACCTGGACTCGGTGCTCAGCGAGAACCAGGAGCACGAGGTGGAGCTGGAGCTGCTGCGGGAGGACAACGAGCAGCTGCTCACCCAGTACGAGCGCGAGAAGGCGCTGCGCAGGCAGGCCGAGGAGGTGCGTGGGCCGCCGCCGGGACGCGCCCGACCCGCCCAGAACCCGCCCTGGCCCCTCTGCCCGCCCACCCGGCCCGGGACCCCCGCCGCCCCAGCCCCCTCCTCCTGCTCCGGGACCCCTGCCGTCCCGGACCCCTCCGCCCGGCCCGGACCCTTCCGGGACCCCATCACCCTGGTCCCCTCCGCCCAGCCCGGTCCGAGACCCACGCCGCCCTGGCGGTGGGTCCCTCCTCTCAGCCCAGAGCTTCCGCAGAGAGCTCACCCTCCTGACAGGCCTCCCTGTCCATATCCCTCCTTCCCACCCTCCTCTGCTTCCAAGCCTTTGCTCTTGGCGTGTGTTTGAGGCCAGTTTCCCAGATCCCAGTAACTACCTCTGTTCACTGCTGCAATTCTAAACTCTCCCAGAAAAGGGATCTCTGATTTTCCTACGGTGCTATAGCAAGAAGAGGTCTTTTGATGTCAGAAGACCTTTTCCTTGTCCCTAATCCAGTATTTTGAAGGTCTGTGACATGGGTGAATTTGGTGATGGATGTAAACACAGAGCCAAAGCCGCAGTGAGTTTGGTTCTGTCACTAGGTGAATGACTCCAGGTCTGTGGAGGTGATTTCTTTGCCCTTTGATTCATTCAGTTGGTAAGATTATTAGCTGATGAACATAAGGCTGAGAAACTTCACTCTGGCTTCTGAGGAGATAAAAGTAGAATTTTGAAATATTCAGTTATGTTCTGGGATGTTTCCATAACCTGGATTTCGCTTATTTGTGAACCAGTTAGGTGAATGGTGCACTGTAGGGAATACCACTTAACTTCATTCATCCACCCTCAGATATCTAGCTCTATTTGGCAGACCTGGAGCCTCGCCCTTTGTGGAAAATGTCAGCAGAGTGAAGTAGATTCGGGGAGTGTGAGTTCTCAGCCCTGCTTCGCCTCTGTGACCTTGGCCACATCACTGGCCTGATCCAGGTTTTGATTTTCCATCAATCAAAGGAATGAATTTCCCTAAGTGATCTCTAAACTCAGAGATTCTGTTACTCTAGGAGTTGGATATGTTCTTTATGAATAGGAAACATCTTACTAAGTGAGTTTAAATTCCTTTTCAACTAATTTGGTTTAATATATTCTTTAGTATTGAAAAGATTGTTTCAGTATCTTGGCTTTTTCTTAAACCAATGTGGTTTATGCCCTAGTTTTGTTTAAAGCCTGTTTATAAAAAAATAATAATAATAATAGTATCCCATACCATTTTTACTTACTGTGCTTCATTTCCCTTTTGGGTTTCATGTCTGTTGAGAGATTGTTCTAATAAAGATTAGAATGCCTGGGCTCCCCTAAAACTTACTTAAAGTTCCTAATTTAAGAGGAATTTAGAGCTCAAAGTGACCCTAGGCATTTTACTGGAAAGGGAACTGTCCCAGAGAAGTAGAAGGGCTGAGCCAAGGTCACGTGCCCAGAGCCATTGGGCCAGGATGCAGAGTGACTGCCGCTGCTGTGCCACACTGCAGGGCATCAGAGGGCTGCTCCCTAGAAGTCTGGATTGCTAGGGCTCCCCTTGCTCAGCCATAAAGCTGTGGCTGACTTTTTGTGCTGGGCAGTGCCTTTCACTTCTCTTACCATTCTCGGTGCCCATTTGATGCCTGACTAAGGTTTCAAGTGGGTTTCTTTTCTTTCGCTGTGTACCTATATGGTCCGTACAGCGGGTAAAAAGGACCTAAGGAGGAAATCAAGGTGGAAAAGCTTAAGGCTGAGAATTATAACCTTATATCTTAAAAACTAACTCAGCATGGATCAGTCATTCTGCCATGTCCCACGAAGCTCATGTGCAGCCACCAGCAAGTGCACCTCTGACCTCTTAGGCTCACACTGGACTAAGACCTGGGGGTTGTCAACTAGGTTGCCTGTAGGCCAAGACATCATTGCCCCAGCAATCTGGAGACCTGCTCAGAGAACTTTCTGAGCAGAGCCTCAAGCAGACAGATGCGTAACTTGGAAGCTGTGACTAAATGCTGATGGCATGTCCTTGGTAAGACCTCAGGTCTTCACATGTATAGAAAAGGACTCATCATTGTGAACAGTTGACATGCTTGCTCCTTCATTGACTCAAGCAGATATTTGCTTCTAATTTTGTGGAAAAGACCACTGTGCACCATAGGTCAACTTCTATTTCTAGGTAGGGACTCATGGTCACATAGATGTATGTTTGGTAACACAAGAGCTGGTTGTCATAGGCTGCAGGCTTGACTTGGTGCAGAGGAGCTCTTGGGTGAGCTGTCAGTGGAAGCTCTCACCTAACCACTCTGCTCCCAAGGTTTAGTCAGAGCCAGGTAACCTGAGCCTTCTGAGCAGACAGAGCTTACCTCAGAGCAAATAATCTAGTTCTGGCCCATGATAACTACAGTAAGAGGTTCTGAGTGAGTTGTCACACGGAGTGGCTGTTTTCATCAGAGTGATGGTAGAATCTGGGGAGGGGCCAGGCCACGGAATCTTTAGGAGCCTCACACACTGTGCCATTGGCCTCTTTCCCTCTCTGGGTGATGATGGCTGCCTCTATAGAGTGAGTGAGTGAGTTGGAGACGTGGCAAGTCAGTTTCATCTCAGGTGCCAACTGCCATCATATTGCTCCTTTATTGACTCAAGCAGATATTCCCTTCCAGTTTTGTGGAAAAGACCACTATACATTGTGGGTTGACTTCTATTTCTAGGCAGGGACTCGTGGTCACATAGGTATGTGTCTGGACGTCACATAGGCTGTGGGCTTGACTTGGTGCAGATGAGCTCCTGTTGGAATAGTTTGTTGTTTGCCTGGAGAGCCGTGACAGGCACACTTGGCAGCGTAAGGGCAAAGCCCTTGAAGGGTTCTTGGGGCAGCCTTGGATGGTACAGTTCTGATACAAAGTTTCTAAAATCCCTCATGTTCTTTCCCACTATAATGGAAGGTGGGCTGGAGGGATGGATTGTTAAGGGTGCTGAGGGAATAGATGCCCTTCCCTGCTCATGGCCCCATGTGACAAACTGCAACAAAAAAATAGCCAGGCGTTGTGGCAAGAACCTGTAGTCCCAGCTACTAGGGAGGCTGAGGCAAGATAATCACCTAAGCCCAAGAGCTGGAGGTTGCTGTGAGCCGTGACGCCATGGCACTCTACCGAAGGTGATAAAGTGAGACTCTGTCTCTAAAAAAAAATAAAGTTCATTCACTGAAGCTGTACCAGAGTCACCAGGAGTATACCTCTCTCCCTAAAAAGTGGAAACAATTAGGTGTAGAAGCTGTGAGCAAAGGTGCTTCCCAGCTGGAGGGCACAGGGGAGATGCCCACAGTGGCCCAGAGCTGAAGCCCTGCTGCTGCACTTCTTGCTGGCCTGGTGGCTGCTGGCAAGCACTGATAGAAGTCAGTTCTTCGAAATTAGGATTTCTAAACTAAATCTGTTTCATTTTTAAGGTTTTTTAAAAACTCTCTTGAAGTAATACATAAGTCGCAAAAATAATACCCCTCACCCAGATTCCCAAATGTGGGCATTTTCCTACATTGATTTTCTCTCTCACTCTGCTAATGCTTTCGGGTCCTGTGTGTCCCTGCAGTCTCCTTTATGCTGGGGTGGTTCCCCATTCTCTGCTCTTTGCAACTTAGACAGTGACAGCACACATCAGTCTGGTGCTCAGACACTGAGGCACATGTCCTCATACTCAGCAGAAGGGATCTGCTAGCCCCCCCGCCCCCCAGTGCAAGATGGCCTTCTGGGGAAAGGCATGAGATTTAAGATGGGTGCCTTTCTTGGGCAGCGCCTGTGGCTCAGTGAGTAGGGTGCTGGCCCCATGTACCTAGGGTGGCGGGTTTGAACCCAGTCCCAGCCAAACTGCAACAAAAAATAGCCAAGACGTTGTGGCGGGTGCCTGTAGTCCCAGGTACTTGGGAGGCTGAGGCAAGAGCTGGAGGTTGCTGTGAGCTATGATGCTATGGCACTCTACCAAGGGCGACAAAATAAGACTCTGTCTCAAAAAAAAAAAAAGATGGGTGCCTTTCCTTAGGTTCCTATTTACTATTGAGGTGTGAAGATGACCTGTTAATATATGAAAATAACTTCAGAAGATACACCCAGGAGTGCCATCCAGAGCAGCCCACCTTTCCAGACTTGTCTTCCTTTGCTCCATTGAATCAGGTCCCAAGGCCCTCCTCGCTAACTTCTATGTTCATTTATTCACTAGATCCTAGAATCCTTTCCTTTGCCACCCTCCCTTCAGTCCCTGCCATCTTTCTGCCACTCCCCCAACCCTTCTTTGTCACTTCCACACTTCAGTTTATTATTGACTCAGCACAGAATTCCAAGTGCCAGACGGGGGATTAGCTCCTTGCTCTCAATAAAATGAGAGTATGTGGAAGGACCAGATAGGCCCCCGTCTGGAAACCCTTCTGCCTAGCCTCCCCAACCTCTGGCCTCTCCCATGCCCCATGCTCCCAGCCTCAAGGATCCCCTTCACATATACTGCTCTACCTACCCCCCTCAGGGTTTTACTGGCTGCCTCTTGTGGCTGTTGGACTCCCTCGTATCTGATGGTGTGCCATGGGTGCAGAGAAGTGAATGAGTGAGTAAATGGTCCCCACAGCCCACCCTCTGTGGGGCTGTGGATTCCCTCTGTGCCTTGCCCAAGAATCCCCAAGTTTAGCTGTTTCGTGCTTAGAGAAAGAGGTAGCACCCTCTGGTTCATTCAGCCCCAAACTGGTTCTTTTCTCCCTCACTCCATGTGGTGTCATCTGTGTGTGTGTGGACGGGGAGGAAAAGATGGCTTTCCTCTGCCTCTGTGCACATCACATCAAGCTAACTGTTCAGTGACTGATCTGTCCATTAGAACTTTCTTTCAAAATGTTTTGTGCTGAGTAGCTCTGACCATATGGGGCCATAGAGCAATTTGAGTATAGCTCATGGAACTGAGTTTTCTGTTGTATTTCATTTTAACTAATTTAAGTTGAAATCCTCAAGTGTGGCTAGGACTACCTGAACGCCAAGGAATAG